TGTCAAGATTTAGACATTATCGCTCCCGACCTGGTGGAGCGGATAACCTTACCCAAGAAGGGTTTTACGTATTTTTACACGTATCATTTCACCTTGGGACCATTCTCTTTGAGTGGAGAGCTTGACTCTGTTATCGTGGAGTTCTGCATCCGCTACAAGGTGTGCTTGGCACAAGTAAATTCTTTTGTGTGGAGGACAGTCTCTTGTCTTCGGCACTTGTGCTAAGAGACGGGAGAAGAGCTAACCCTAGATCGATTGATGAACCTCTACTCCCCCAAGATCTTCTGCGGGGGAATAATAAATTTAAGCAAGCACGACAACCTTGCTCTGCTATCTAGCATGGATGATGACAACAACCGTGAGTGGATGGAACGGTTCATTTTTGTTGCCACCAGTGACATCATTCCGGCTACGGCTTCATCCTTTCCGGAATTATGGAGCCGCACTCGTAAGTTCACAATTTGTCTTTTCTTCCATTAAAGATCATTCCATATCGTTATTGACCCTTCTTCTTTTGCTTATTTCAATAACTTGATGGGTTCCACCTAGGGTTGAAAGCTTGGACCAGTAGATCCGGAAAATTTTGGACGTTACTATGCCCGAGACCCGCACGTGAAAAGAACTGGCCCTTAAATATAGGTGGAAGGCAAAAAATCATGGTAAGTCAAACTCACATTGTTCTTACCTTTTCGTATAAGGAAGTTGTTTAGCCTTTCTCTCTTGTTGGATTCAGGTCTACCCCAGGGCAGAGTAGTCGTCCCCGAGGAGGACGTTTTGGCTGATCCTGCTGATGCTGCGAGGCTGCTGCAGGAGGCTTTTACACAGACATGTATCTCGGGGCCTTCTTCTGGTGTGAGTGCTTCTTCTCGGAATCCCCAGTCGGAGAACAAGAAACCAAAAAGAAGACGTTCCTTCACGGCTGGGAAAAAAAATAAAAAGGCGAAGAGTGTCGCTCCCGAGTCATCTCTGGAAGTTGTGGTAATGAGCCCCCCTTCCCCCGAGCCAGCCGTAGACATCGTAATGATTGATGATGATTGGGAAAGCCAGCGAGGAGGGGGCTTCTCTACATAGAAGATGGCAACCTCCCTCAGCACAATAGAATGCTCAATCTGTTGAGTTAGTTACACCAACCGAGGACGATGCCTCAGCACTCTGGGGGAGTATGAGATGGTGGAAATGCTAACTCCCGATTCTGGATCCCAGTTATCATGCCCAGTACCGTGAGGCTGAGTACCGGGTCCCTTCCGTCTTCGGTTGATGAGCAACCAACAACCAGCACTGCACTTTTCGCAACCACTTTTCATCCTTCAATGCCATCAGGTTCATCTCCTTCTTCACTAACTCTTCCTTCGCCACCAGCAACTGCTACATCATTTCCACCGGCCGCAACTGCCCGAGAAGAAGATGTCATTGTCCCCCAGTCCCCAGTTCATAGGAACATGGGGAAATATTATGCTGCCCCCTCAGAAGATCCTCAAAGGAGGAGGAGCGTTGCTCTCTCAGTATTTGCCGAATGCCACATGTTGTCCCGACCAGTGGAACTTGCCAACTATCTGAAGCCTTTGGCTTCGGAAAAAGATAGGGAAAAGATACAAGCTCTTTCGAGAGAGTGTTTGTTGAACAATGCTATGCTTAATGCAACAACGGTATATTATTCGTTTCCTTCGTTATCTCTTCTATCTTTGATATAGTAGGATTTTAAATTTACATTTTTTGTTTTGCAGGCCAACTTCTTTGCTTCCGAGGGCCTCCAAAGGTTGATTCGAATTAAGGAGGAACTTACCTTCGAGCGGGATCAATTTTTGGCCGAGCGGGACCAAACTGCTGCTCGTCTCTTAGAGCTGGAAGCTAGAGCTGCTGAGGCCGTTGTGTTGGAGACTTGGTTGCAGCAAAAAGAGCAAGAAGTAGAAATCCTTAGCCAAGAAGTTTCCCCGTTGAGGGCTCAATTTGAAGAAGCTAGGAATAAATGTGTTGAAATACATAATGTTGTTATTGCTGCATCTGATCATTAGGCTGCCTCCGCTGATAGATTAAACAATTTGGAGGCGACTTTGAACTCCAAAACTGAAGAACTTGCTGCCGCTGGGGTGAAGTATGCCCAATTAGAGGAGAAGAATAAGAATACCATTGAGCATAACAGACTTTTCAGCTCTACTGTTCGTGATCTCGATGTCAGCCTCCGGTTCGTTAGATCTATGCGGGAAAACCTTTCTACCGAGATTGACCAGCTTAAAGAAAAACTCAAGTGCCGAGCATCTTCCCTAGTTGTTGTAAAAACATATGCTATGTACAACATGAGGATAAAAACCATGGAAAAGACTAAAGCGGGTGTCATTCACTTTGATGCCAAAATCGCTAAAGCCCGTGAGCTAGAGTTGGCTACTAAAAGGGGGTCCTCCGGCATGGCTTGATGCTACCGATTCTTCTAGCTCCGGTTCTAAGTTCTAGGGAACTGAAGGGGAACCGGAAGGCAATGATGCTAAAGGCCAAAATGATGAAGGCCAGGATATCAAACTGGTGGCGGATCTACCCACTTCTCCTAGGGGCGCGAATACTTCTCTTCCTCTGGGTTCCGGAGATGCAGCAACTTAGTTTTTGATTTCCTTTTTTCCAATTTTTGTATTGGTGCCTTTTGGCACATTCATTGTAAATAAAAACACTCTTTGGTTCAAGTATCGTATAAGTTTCTTTTTCTGCGTACTTTCGTTTAAACATTTGCGCAAGTTTGCTCTTTGCGTCTTTTTTCGTTTAAGTGTTTGTGCAAGTTTTACTATTTGCGTCTAATCATGCAAGACTTTGGGTGTAGTTTCCCCCGAAAGCATTTGGATTCGGGCATAAGTTTTTCTGAAATCAACCCTTTAACGTGAGAGTTTTTATAAGAGAGGGCCCTCTAACGTTTACGGTGCTCATGAAGAGGAAGTCTCCTATTAATTATGACACTAGCATTTGAAGTACTTGTTTAACTTTCAAATGATAAAATCAATTTATCGTTTAGACAAGAAACAAGATAGAAATAGAAGGACTTCACTTTATTCCTTCTGTTTTCAGAAGTACATAAGCATTCATTGTGCTAAAGAGAAATTGCCATTTTTGTGGCTAACTTGTAGTACTTGTTTCTATGGGGTTGGTCGTACAGTCCCTGGTCCCGATGATACAACTATGCTTCTGAGTTTTGTATTCCGGTCGAAGTGACAGTCGTTGGTTCCATATCCTTATATCATCCCCCACGGTGTTTGAATGCGAAGAATGCAAATTAGAACACTGGGAATTTCACACCTTCGAGGACTCCACTAGTGAATTGCTAGATAATCTTCAATTCGGTAACAAACTTCACTTCCCCTTAGGAATTTATGCTATCGAGCCAAAGATTATCTAACAATCCCCTAGCAGCTTTCACTTGTGAATGGTCAGGTATTCTCTGTTCGACAGCAAACTCAACTTCCCGGTAAAAACTTTGCTCTCGAGCAAAAGACTATCTAACCGCTCCATAATGGTTCTTCACTTGTATGCCTTGTCATTAAAAGGTCTTATTGCTGCTGTTGAAACTTCCTTCATAGTATGCTTTCCGTTGCTGCCTCGTTAAAAACCTTATCAGAAAAATCCAATTGGGACAAAAACCGGACGAATGGAAAAAGAGTGCAGCACATACTTTCAGTACAAGTGATGTTCATCAGCAATAGTATCTCTTGAGGCGTGCCACATTCCAGTTGCTTGGAAACGTTTCTCCATCTTGATTCTCTAACTCGTATGATCCTTTCCCGGTGACAGCTTAAACCCGGTAAGGGCCTTCCCATGTTGGACCTATATTTCTCATATTGAGTTCCCGGGTGTTCTGAGTTACTTTTCTTAAAACCAACTCTTCTACTTTAAAATAACGGAGTTGGTTCTTCGATTATAATATCTCTCTATTTGCTGCTTTTGAGCTACCATCCTTACATGCTCTAAGTCCCTGCGTTCATCTAGCAGCTCCAAATTGACTAACATTGCTTCACTGTTTGCTTCTTCATTTGACCGAAAATACCTCATGGTAGGTTTACCTACTTCTACCGGGATCAGGGCTTCTGCTCTGTACACAATAGAAAAAGGAGTCTACCCCGTTCTTGATTTGGCTGTTGTTCGGTATGCCCACAGTACACGTGGAAGCTCTTCGGGTCATTTTCCTTTAGCTGCTTCCAATTTCTTTTTGAGATTTTGTATGATCACTTTGTTCGTTGATTCTGCTTGGTCGTTTGTGCTCGAGTGATAAGGTGATGATGTGATCCTCTTGATTTTCAAATCTTCGAGGAATTTTGTATTTTTGCGCCTATAAATTGCGGCCCATTATCGCAGGATATTTCTCTTGGTATACCAAATCTGAAAATTATTTTCTCCTACAAGAAATCTACCATTTCACGTTCGTTGATCTTCTGATAAGGACATGTTTCAACCCACTTAATAAAATAGTCAGTTAAAATCAAAAGAAATCTTACCTTACCGGGGGCCGGTGGCAGCGGTCCGACGATATCCATTCCCCACTTCATGAATATCCATGGTGACAGAAATGAGTGCAGTGGCTCTACGGGTTGATGAATCAACAGTGCATAGCGTTGACATTTATCGCATTTTTTGAACATAAGCTTTGGCATCTTATTCCATCCGGGTCCAATAGTATCTTGCCCTTATTAATTTTAGTACTAAGGAATCTGCGCCCGAGTTATTCCTGCAGATCCCTTTCTGGACTTCTCGCATAACATAGTTAGCTTCGGAAGCTCCTAAACATCGGGCCAACGCGCCTTGGAAAGATTTTCTATATAATTGACCTCCTTTGAAACTATATCGTGCGGCCTTATTTCGTAGTGCCCGAGATGCCTTAGGATCCTCAGACAGTTTCTCGTGTTCCAGATAGTCAATAATTTCATTTCTCCAGTCCCAGACCAAATTAGTCGTGTTTACCTCGTAATAGCCATCTGCATCCAGTACCGAGTGCATAAGTTGTACGACCGTACCAGAGTCTGATCCTTTCATTTTGTAGACGAGCCAAGGTTAGCTAATGCATCTGCTTCTGCATTTTCTTCCCTCGGGATATGCGTGATTGACCACTCTCGGAACCGAGCGAGCAAAGCCTGAACCTTCATTACGTATTGTTGCATGCATTCCTCCTTGGCTTGGAAGATCTCGTAGACCTGATTAACCACCAACTGGGAGTCACATTTGATTTTTATGATCTCAAAGTCCAGTTCTGGGGCCAATTCGAGCCCTGCAATCAAAACTTCATACTCCGCCTCACTGTTAGTCAGTAGGACCATTCTTATGGCCTGCCTTAGGGTATCTCCCGAAGGCGTGGTTAGTACTATACTGAGCCTGGACCCCTTTACGTTGGAAGCTCCATTCGTGAATAGGGTCCAAACTCCTGATGTCGATTCTGACACTATCACTCCTTCTTTGGTTGCCAAAGGTAACAACCCTAGACTGAAATCGGCCACAAAGTCGGCTAAAACTTGTGACTTAATCGCAATCCTAGGTTTATATTCTATGTCAAATTCACTCATTTCGATGGCCCACTTAGCCATCCTACCCGAAAGTTCGGGTTATGAAGGATATTTTGTAGGGGAAAGGTGGTCACCATAACTATCAGATGATATTAGAAATAAGGCCTTAGTTTTCGAGCGGCGACTACGAGAGCTAAGGCCAATTTTTTCAGATGTGGGTAGCGAGTTTCTACTACCATTAAAATTTTCCTAACATAATAGATAGGAGATTGCATACCTTCGTCCTCACGGGCTAAAACAACACTTACCGCTACCTCCAGGGCTACTAAGTAGACCAATAGTTTTTCGCTTTCTTCCAGTTTCCATAGTAACAGAGGACTTGACAAATACCTTTTCAAATACCTCAAAGCCTGTTGATATTCTGGAGTCCATTCAAAGTTGTTCTTCTTTTTGAGCAGCGAGAAAAAATGATGGCATTTCTCCGAAGACCGGGAAATGAATCTGCCCAAAGCGGCCAATCTCCTCGTTAGCCTTTGAACCTCTTTTATGCTTGATAGATGGTCTAGGATGTCTTAGATGGCCTTGATTTTATCAGGGTTAACCTCGATCCCTCTTTGTGATACTAGGAATCCTAGGAACTTACCGAAGCTGACCCCAAATGCACATTTCTCGGGGTTAAGCTTCATGTTCTGCTTCCTTAAGATGTCAAAGGTTTTTTGCAAGTGTTTGATATGATCACATGCGTTCAAAGACTTAACAAACATATCATCTATGTAAAATTCCATGGTTTTCCCTATTTGCTTTTCAAATATCTTGTTCACGAGCCGTTGATAAGTGGCTTCGACGTTCTTTAGCTAGATGGGCATCACATTGTAATAATATGTGCCAAAATTCATAATGAACGAAGTTTTTTCTTGATCCTCCGGTCCATTTTGATTTGATTTTACCTGGAGTAAGCATCAAGGAAACTCATTAACTCGTGCCCGGCCGTTGCATCATTCATTTGATCAATGTTTGGCAATGGGAACGAATCTTTTGGGCACGCCTTATTAAATCCTTATAGTCTACGCACATACAAAATTTATTATTCTTCTTTGGAACTACTACTATGATAGCTAGCCATTCGAGATATTTTACCTCTCGGATTGAACAGATATTAAGTAGGCGAGTTACCTCTTCTTTGACGAATTTATTTCTGGCCTCGACAATAGGACATTTTTTCTATCTTACCGGAGGAATACTGGGATCCAAGCTTAGCTTGTGTACAACCACTTCCGGCGGGATACCTGATATATCCGCATGTGACCACGCAAAATAATCGACATTAAGTTTAAAAAATTCAATAAATCTAGACCTGAGTTCGGGGTGCAGTCCTGTCACCAAGTGGAATTTCCTCTCCAAGAAGTTTTTGAATAATGCTACAGTCACAAATTCTTCCGTTGTGGACTTTATTGCGTCCCTCTCTTCTGGTACCTGGATATACCTTGGTACTTGATAGGATTCTAACGCCCCTTCCCCTGGTTGACTTCGCTTGGCTTAGGAACAAATGCCGGCTCATGTAATTGCTATGTTGTATGCTCCTTCCCTTTGCTACAGGAGACTAAGATTGTATTTATCTCCCTTGCTACCGGTTGGTCACTCTTATTTGTTTAACTTCCTCGGGAGTTGGAAATTTCAGCAAATGATGATATATTGATGGCACAGCCTTCATTTCGAGCAACCACGGTCTCCCAAAATGATATTGTAACCCATATCGTCGTCCACCACCTAAAAAAGGGTCGTCTTCATCACCCCCTCGGCATTCGTGGGCAGCAAGATCTTTTCCCAGGTTGTCATGCTTGCCAGATTGAACCCGACGAGGAGTTTTGTGGCCGGAATGATACTTCTAGTGAGCTTGACTTGCTCCAACACGCTCCATTGGATAATATTGGCCAAATTTCCTGGATAAACCATAACACGTTTAATTTTAAAATCTAAGACATTTAGAGAGATTACTAGGGCATCATTATGCGGTAGTAGCAATCCACCCTCGTCTTCCTCCGTAAAAGTAATGTCGTCTTCAGTACCTTCCCGGAGTCATTTGCCGTAGGTCACTGATACCTTAGTAATTATCGTCGCCGAAAATGTAACCCCATTAATCTCGTTCCCCCCGAAAATCATGTTGATCGTCAGGCGTGGGGGATCTTCTTCTACTTTTGAAGGTTCTGCACTATCACGATTGCGACCATAGTTGTTTTTAGCCCGGTCTCTTAAATATTCCCTGAGATGGTTGTTTTCAGCAATGTCGCCACCTCTTTACGCAGATGCTGGCAGTCCCCGGTCTGGTGACCGTTTGTCCCGTGGTATTTACACCACAAATTAGGATCCCTCTGATCGGGATCAGATTTTATTGACTTCGAAAACTGTGCTTCTTTAATGTTCCTCATAGCCGATACCAGCTCCACTACGCTGACGTTGAAGTAGTATTTAGAAAGCCTGGGGTAGGAACAATCTTGAGAACCTGGCGTTTCCTTGTTCTGTAATGACCAGTTATTTCGGCAACTATCGGTTCTCTTATCGGTAGCGAATATGTACGCCGATCGGAAACCTTTGCCACGTCCTTCGGCCCATTCATATGGCGAATATTAACTCCTCGAAGACCGTCGATCTGTATCAAAAGCGTCTTTTGATTTCTCTTTATTCTTCTCCCGATCCCGACCCTTAACCGACGCCAAAAAACTGAGCTGACCATCTTTAATCCTTAGTTTTGACTCGTACCGGTATTGAACATTCGCCCAAGTTGTTTCCTCAAACTCGAGCAAACTTTCTTTCAACTTGCAGGAAGTGTTGGAACTTCTCGGATTCAGACCTTTGGTGAATACTTCGACCGCCCATTCGTCCGGAACGGCTGGTTAGCAACATCCTTTCTTTTTGGAACCTGGTTACGAACTCCAGCAGCAACTCAGACTCTCCTTGCACAATCTTGAATATATCAGCCTTTCGAGCCTGTACGTTTTTGGCCACAGTATCGGCCTTGATGAAAGAATCCACGAGCATCTCAAAGGATTCTATGGAATGCTCGGGCAAAAGCGAATACCACGTCAGGGCTCCTTTCGTAAGAGCCTTTTCGAATTTTTTCAACAAAACAGACTCAATCTCGTATGGACCAAAATCATTCCCATTCACTGTCATTGTATAGGTACTGATATGCTCCCAAGGATCCAAAGTCCCATCATACTTCGGCACGTCTGGGATTTTAAATCGCTTCGGGATCAGTTCTGGTGCCGCGCTTGGTTTGTGCGGCAATTATATGTACTTCTTTGAGTCCGTCCCTTTCAGCACGGGTGGTGCACCCAGAATTTGATTCATTCGGGTATTTACTTCCCTCATAAATTGCATAAGTTCAATTTTAAAGGGATCACTCACGTTGTTGTGACCGGATCTGTTCCCCCGGCCCCATCGTAGCCGACCTCACCCCTCGGGATGTTGTTGTCGACCCTCTGCGCCATTTGGTTTACGGGAGCATTAGGAAGAATTGGGCCTCACCCATTCACGTTTTTATAAACGTCCGACAATGCCTGCTTCAGTTCCGTCATGACCTTATCCTGCAGTGTGAGGTGGCCTATAATGGCTTCATGTTGCTTTTGCAAGACCCCGACTGCTTCGACAACGTGCTCTTCTTCAACATCATTAGGAGTTTCCTCCCGAACATGTCGCGGATATCGGTCACCGTGGACCGGCGTGGCCTCGTTCCCCTCGTTGTGGGTATCACTGATTGAATTCTCGCGCTGAGATTGATTTCCTTGGGCCTCAACGTTTTCTGTATTGTTAACACCATTATCTGTCATTTTTAATGATTTTTGCTAAGAACAAAGAATCACACAAGTTAGTAACAGATGCAGGTATCAATTCAATTACACGACTGTCTATGCCCCACGGTGGGCGCCAAATTATTTACTCGTAAAACTATACATATGAATTTGTACATAGTTTATAGGCAAGTAAATTAGTTTGATCCAAAAATAATAGATGAATTAGACAGAAATATAAGACTTAGCCTTAGAATTGAAATAGACGACAAATATCTTGGTTTGGGGGCGCAGAGCTACCGGGAGTAATAAGAACAATACAAATAAGCAATAAAGTAAAATGTAATTGAGCTTTTGATAGAATATAGTGTATGCTTGTCAGAAAATTCGTGTCCTTTACAATGATAATAGAGCTCATTATTTATAGTTGCACCTAGGGAATAAAGTCCTAAGATTAAGCCCATCTTTAATGATAATTATGAGGGCCATTGTAGGATGTGTAACGGTGGGCAGTGAATGCCATATTCTTTGTAACGGATCATGCACTTAATGCTGTAAAATATTCTTCATTGAATGCTACTGGATGACAACATTAATTTTGTTGCTATGAGTATCATTCTCTCCGGTGACAAGCAAGATCATTGCCTTCAGGTTTAGCTATCTTCTGTCTTCGGTTCCACGTGTCGCTTTCTCATGCGATCATTAAATATGAACATATTTTACCCAATACAATATAATATTTCAATTATATTTTAAATCTTGTATAATTAAATTTCTGATTGGTGTATAATTTTATATCTACTATAGAATGGAATAACAATACATGTATTAATTAAAACAGTATTAAACACCAAAAAACAATATTACCTTTGTCTTTTCCTCAAACCCATCATCAACACCTTTTCAATTTTATTAAGTAATATANTACTAATCCCTGTATAATTTGTTTTCAAATGAAACGGTGGTTTATGTTATGTATAACCTAAATCCATTAACAATAGTTACTCTATAGAGAGAGCAATCTATGCTCTGTGCATTGACAATGTAGAATTATTAATTTTCAACATAAGTTGACTTAATTCTCAATACTAAAATGGTAACATAGAAAATAGAGTAATAATTTGCTAAAATCAAATAAATTGTATATTGATAGTATAAAAGGTCTGTTAGTATATATAAGTGGAAGTACTCTTCTTTAGGGCGTGCTTCCAACTACGAAGAGTTTATATTATCCTTGATGTTGTATGGAGAGAGAGAGAGAGAAAAAAAGTTGGGTTTAAAGGGGTTATCAATTGCCATAACCCATATGGTCCATCACCATTTCACCAGTATGGCTTTATATAGGTGGTCCTCTCCCTCTCTATTATAGACTGTCTGCCTCAAGCAACCAGCCAATCCTGAGAAAGGGATACGTCTTCGCTGTGACCCCCGCCCCCCAAAATCCCCCCATCCCGACACCTTTCTCTTCCCTAACTGCTCTCTTTTTCCCTAAGAAATTAGACTCGTTGGCATTCTTGTAAAGGGAATACAAAATTTCAAGCTTGGAAAACCTTTTTTTGCATATTCATATAGTAGTAAAAGACCAGAGGAGACCTGGTCCCCGATCTAATTCACTAGTACATTATCCCGTTCTGTACCCAACTA